GGGGGTATGTCGAATTGAGTAGCAGCGATCATAACATATTTGGTGTATCAGATCCAGTGGGGGTGGCAGAGTCATAGACGGTATCATTGTCGCGCACCTCCGTTTGTAAACGGCACTGATGCTCAAGTGTGCCAGCTCCGCAATCACAGAAAAATCTGCAAACAGCTTGTATTAACCTTTGCAGGCAAAACATGCAAGATATCAGTGTCCGGCAAAATATTGCTATTAAGAAATGGCGGAGAATGGAAAAGTTTTGTATCTTTCAGGAAAATAGAGATCACTTTCCCAAATCTGTCAATAGAAACGAGATTTTGTCTGCTTCATAGCCTATGTGAAATTTTTGAAAAAGGGTGGCAGCAAAACAAAGAAGTGATGTTTCTAGCGCCTCCTATCCCGTCTTTCATAACGCAATCATTCAAGAATGTGTAAAACAAGCGGAATAATATGTAGCTAAACCATACTAGCAAGCGCATACTATCTACATACCTATCATGCCTGACAAACTCCACTGTATGACCGCGATGACAATTTTTTATGCAGTTGATGCAGATAGCGTTACGATCGGTTGTATTGCAGCTCACACATCTGGATAATGGGCATTTAAAGATATCAAGTAGACTTCAGTGAAATCAAACCTGTAGAAATCATGCATCGGGAAGGATGTGCAGCTGCTGATTTTGAACAAGCATTGGCCTCGTCCAACAGCTCTTTCCACGGCGTTATGATTATCATAGATTTTGTTGTCACGCAATACCGGTTTTACATCAGTAGCAAGACAAAGACCTAACAAAAAAATGCAAATTCTTAAATGACCTTAAAAAGAAGGCGTATGAGTAATTGACCTCCAAACTTATTATGGAACAACTGATTTGCCTCCAAAGTTGCGGAGGCACCATTTGTAATTTCAACTCCAGCTGCTTTTCCTTCGAAAATGCGATTACGCCGAAGAGTTGGGTTTGATTCCGTTGATATCAGTACACCAGCTTGGGCATTGCGATAGATATCGTTGTCTTCCAAAAGGCCTGCAACTCTTATGTTGA